CCGGCAGCCGCCCGGGGGGCCAACCTATAGGGGGTGCCTGATGACAGCTGTATGGGGTGCCACACGCCCGGGGGCCACACGGTGCCCCTTAGAGCTGCCATCAGGCACCACGTGCCTGATTGCAGCTGTAAGGTGCGCAGCACACCGGGGGGCAGGGCCATGCATGCGCCATGTGCCCGGGGGTGGAGCCGTGCACGCGCCGTGTCCCCGCTGTCCAGGGCACAGGAATGGCTTGAGCCGGCCCTGGGTAGCCCACTCCTCAAAGCCACATTTGGGAAAGACATTCAAACCTCCTCTCCCTTCACCCCATATCATGGGCGCTGTGTGATTCCTCCCCCTCCTCCTCCGCCCAACACTGCCACATTTTACAGACTTCAGAGGAGTGAGGTCGAAGCCATTTCAAAGCTGTATCGTCCGAATTGGCTACACTTGACATCTAATCTCACAGCAATCCTTCCGGTGACATTTCAAACAGACTAGTAAGCTACCCTCTCTCTTTCTCCACACTGTGTCAGCATTTTATTTCGGGTTGTACAGATGATTGATTCTACCGGGGACAGTTTAGGATAAAAATCCAGGCCTGGCAGGAGCGGGCCGTTAGCCCTTCTTTTTTCCACCAGGCAAACCACAGGCAAAGACACTACCAGACGCAAGCAGGCCAACAATTAAGAACCTCCAGTGGTTTTGTGCAGTATTAGTGTCCTTCACTGTGTGTGGCTAGCGGATAACATGACAGCTTGATAATGCAGCACAAGTGGAAATATTGTTAAAGGCATGCCAAGGCAGCTGGAGGGGCGGAGGAGGGGGAAATCAAAGCTGAGGGCCGTATGTTGCTCTAAAAACTTTCATTGGTGTCCGTGACAATTTCTATAGCACCTTTCAACAGTAAGGCTTGGAGCACTTTACAGCAGGGGCGGGGAACTTGTTTGAGTTGGGGGGGAGGCACTGACCCACAGAAAAATCAGTCAGGGGCCACACACAAGGGAGAAATTCAACTCAACCAAACCCAACCCTTCACTGTGTTGGGGCCTGCCTCTGAGAAGGAGGAAGACACTCCTCACACCAGAGCCGGGGGGCAGCCTAGATTTTTGTATGCTCCAGCGCTGCAGTGGGGCAGCACGGGGGAGGGGCAGATGGGGTGCCAGTGCAGGCTCCCCAATGCTGGGGAGGCCCCTGAGCCTCGGGAGCCAGATTCAGGCAAGCTGGGGGCCTGCAGTTCCTCACCCCTGCCTTACAGGCTATGAATAGGGATCATTTCACCCTTTTTTTGGAAGGGACGTGGCAGCTCTTTAACTGGGCACATGAACATTATACAACAGTTTAGGTCACAGGGGTAGAGAACCTAAGGCCCAGGAGCCTGGCTCCAGCCCCCAACTTGCCTGGATTTGGCCCCCAAGGCTCAGAGCTGCCCCCTAGCATTAGGGAACCAGCGCTGGTGCTTGATCCTCCCCTCCCCCCTGCTGCCCCTCCACAGGGCTGGAGCACACAAAATCTACAAGCCTGGGCCCCCCTCAGCTTTGGTGCATGAGGGGAATGTGGGGAGGGTCTTTCTCCTTCTCAGTCGGGGGCCACATCAGTGAGGTTTTTTTTTTTAATTGCTTCTCACTTGTGTGCAGCCCCTGATTGATTTTTCTGTGGGTCAGCAGCCCCCCTGATCCGAAAAAGTTTTCCCACCCCTGGAGAAGAAGGAAGAAGTCATATGATACTGCAAGGGCAATTTAGGTGAGAAGACTGCAGTCAGTCCAGTTGGAATGTAGCCATCTCGCCAAGGTTACTCCTCTCGTATTATAAGTTGAGACAAGTGGTCCAAACTTCGTATTGATGAAGTTACCGAGGGATAAATCGGAACGTCTGATCCGAAAAAGTTTTCCCACCCCTGGAGAAGAAGGAAGAAGTCATATGATACTGCAAGGGCAATTTAGGTGAGAAGACTGCAGTCAGTCCAGTTGGAATGTAGCCATCTCGCCAAGGTTACTCCTCTCGTATTATAAGTTGAGACAAGTGGTCCAAACTTCGTATTGATGAAGTTACCGAGGGATAAATCGGAACGTCT